ACGTACGGTTGCCGAGTTGGTAAAATTTATGTTTTACACGCTTGGGGTACGAGGTTCCAACCCGCATATGGCAATGAATTTTTTGCATTTTTTCTTAATTCTTTTTAAGTTAGAATAAATTTTCAACTCCTTTGATTTTTATCTCATTTAGATTCAATAACTTCAATAAAGTTCTAGGATCCCATCACTGTAGTCGCCACTCGCAAGAAGAAATTTCTTATTCATATTAAAATTATTTTACTATATTTTAAGTTTTAGCTTCGATGAAAATCTGAGAAGATATTTTTTTATGACTATCATTTATTTTCTCTGCTCTAACATGACCTACTTTTTTCAACGATACGTCAAATGACTACAATTCGTATCTAGTTGAAGATATTACCCTCAAAAATTGATANAATGACTACAATTCGTATCTAGTTGAAGATATTACTCTCAAAAATTGAAAAAAAAATTCTAATTTATCAATTAAACAGTTAGTTATTACATCGTCTCCATAAAGACAATTAAAATCATTAATTTCTAATGTTTTCAAAATATTTATTAACGAATGAAGTTTGATATAATAGGTTTCAACTACAAAATTAAATCATTTTACTTTGTAATTAAATAATTTTTTTACTCTATTTGTGTGTGCTACTACTAGACTATAATATTTCAAATTTTTTGGTAACATGATGCTATATAAAACACAAATCTAAAAAAAAAAAATGATTTTTAGTTTCATCTAAATTTAACGATGGATTTATACAATTCTAATCAAATTTTATAATACGCTCAATTGAGTAAATCTTTTTAACAACTTTTTTTTTATTGGTTCTTTTAGTTAAAGTTAATCATTAAAATTAATTAAGTTCTGAATATTTTCATTGTAGAATCTTTTTAAACACGAAATATTAACTAGAAATGATTACTATGATTTATATTTAAGTGATCTGTTACGATAAAAATGTAAAAAAAATCGAACTTTGCTGATAAATGTACTGTAAATAGTAATTATATAATTTCTTGATTTCATATTTATCTTAACAATTTCATTTTTTTCTATTTAATAATGTCAATTTCATACTTGAAAGTTGAGCTAAAAGTTGTGGTAATAAATTCATTTTGTTTTTTATTATAAACTTTCACTTTAAATGACGAAATAAAGAAGGTTAAAAATTATTACTTTTAACATATTAAAAATCAATATCAATAATAATTTGAAAACAATTCAATATAAAAATTATATAATATATAATTTGTAATGTTGCAGAATTTATATCAGTTTTTAATAAATCTTATCAGTTAATGGTGAGTGTATTAGGTATTATGTATGTCCCCAATAATAAAATTAGCTTATACAGGGTGATTTTTTTATCATAACCCACTCAATAACTTGCAGAATAATAATAATTTAAACATTTTTTTTTTTCATTATCTTTAGTTACACATTATTCTTGAATTTTTAACTATGTAATACTTTTTAAGTTCATCCCTTATGCCTTGGAGGGGGGTCAACTTTGTTTTTTTAAATGGTAACACATATTTTTAATTTAATAAAATGTTTGAGTTTTTAATTTAATAGTAAATGGCATTTGAATTTTTAATATAACTTTATTAGCTTATTAGATATAAACATTTAAAGTTTCAAAATTTTGAGTTAATATACATGTATAATACACATGGGATTGTAAATACAGGTAGTTAATAGGATTTTTATGACAATGCTGTCTCAGTCACGGATTGTTTATTATCAATTATGATTATCAATAGATATACTTTCTGTATTGTCAGTTAGTGTATTTATAAACTCATAACAATGTGCTTTACTATCATTGATAATAACAATGCTGTGTACCTGCTAATATCGATGTCATAAAAAATCAATTAGCTACCTGTATTTGTAATTCCTTGTGTATTATACCTATATATTAACTCGAAAATTTGAAACTTTAAATGATTATATTTAATAAACGAATTAAGTTATATTAAAAATTCAAATGCCATTGACTATTAAATTAAAAACTCAAATATTTTATTAAATTCAAAATATGTGTTACCATTTAAAAAAACAAAGTTGACCCCCTTCCAAGGCATAAAGGATGAACTAAAAAAGTATTACATAGTTAAAAATTCAAAAATAATATGTAACTAAAGATAATGAAAAAAAAAAATGTTTAAATTATTATTATTCTGCAAGTAATTGAGTGGGTTATGATAAAAAAATCACGCTGTATATTAGTCAACCGATCCAATGGTCAGTACCCGATTTGTTGTGACAGTTGACCGCACACAGTGCATCCCTACACTCTTGTATTCTCCCTATGAACCAGTTCAAAGTTGGTACCCCCACCATCCGGTGACATCATGATCACCGGCCATAACACAAATGCCGCTACAACAGATTTTTGTCTCACCTATACTGCCGAAGCGACAAGTCTTGTTTTCTTTATATAATTTTTATTTTGAAAACCACGTTTTTTTTGTATTTTTTTTGTCCTCCGTTTTTTTTTTTATTAAAATAAATTGTCGAGTGGATCTTCTGTCGACTTGTATCAACCCGGCTGTTCATATTTTTTTTGTCCTCCTTTTTTTTTTATTTAAACAAAACGTCGAGATGATGATGCTAATGATGATGACGATGTGAGACACAACTATGGCCGGTGGTGGGTTTAGCATCATTATTATATATCATATTTAGCATAAATTGGCACTCCTCAAAATCAAAAACATCAACAAATACAACATCAATAAACCCCCCTTTTACCCCCTTTTTAATTTGTGTATCAAGCACCTCCTTTTTTTTTTTTTCTCCTTTCATATGAATATATTTAATCTAAAATAGTAATTATAAATTTTTTAATTAAATAATTAAAAAATGTTGTTATATTATATNAAAGATAACAAATCGTATCTAGTCGAAGACATCACCCTTTTCCTTCATTTTTATTAATATTGGTTTTTTTTTTTTGTTTTTATCAAAATCTAGTAGCTCCGTCAACAAGTACTATCTTGTTTGGCGCAGCTACTAGGTCACTGTCCAATGTTCCCCCTGGGCAGTGGGTAATTAGTAGGCCCTCTGTTTTGGCTGAAACCTTACAAATTTTATATTATATTTTTGAATCTAAGAATATAATAAGAAGATATAATGAAAGAAATAGCTGATGTTGCCTTTGTAATTATCTACCAATTTCTTAGAATTAAACATTATCTACAGATTTGCATCGAAGCGTTTCCTATAATAGTGATTTTAATGACTGTCAGATTAAATCTATATCACAACTATGCCACATCCCCACGATTCCGCGATTCCACTGTGCTGGGTTTTTTATATATTACACTTATCAATCATAAAATTTGTAATGATGATATAAAATAGAAAATAGGAGTTCATTTTTCTTTTGGAATAATCCACTAGTTTTTTAAAATTAAACACTATCTATAGATTTGCATCGAATCGTTTCTATAGTAGTGATTTTAATCACTGTCAGATATCATCTTTACTTGTCCCAAATATGCTACGGCCACATTATGCCGCAACCCCACTGTGCTAACGTTTTCTTTTTTTTAATTTGCCTTTTTTTACTATTGTTATGAAACATATAGTTATAGTTTTTCATTAATTTGTCAAGAAAAAGATAATTTTTCAAACTTTAACAATATAACATTGTATTTGTATTTTAATGCGTTTTTTACATTCAGAATAGTAAATTTAAACACTACTAACCTGTAGGTGATATCATTATTGAAATCATTTTAAATATGTGATTTATGAAGACTAATTGTTATAATGTCAAATACATTAAAATCTATTTGTTTTATTTACGAAAAATCTTATTTTAGAATAAACTATTAATATTTCTAATATTTTAGTATAAATTGCAAAACAACGTACGTAAAATTAATCAGCTAAAATTTAAATATTTAAATAATTATTTTTTAAATTGTTACTTTCTTAAAATCTTTACAATGCATTTAAAAACTATACTAATCTTTTGTTTAGTATGTTTTTCAACGACACAAAGGTAAGTAATTATTTATATATTTTTTTCACAAATATAATACATAAAAATTTAAAGAGCGATGGACTTAATGCAATCCAAATACAATTCTTGCAAATTTCGGTAAAAAAGTATAATGATATGGAAATAGTAAACAAAGTGATAAAATATTTTAATGTCAATAAAGAATACCATTATAACACAGAAGGTATATATTACGTAAAACTTTTAGCTTTCCTAATAGATAATAAATTTGTAAATATGTATGTTTCCATTTAAAAAATAAAGTTGATACCATAGATATCAAGTTAATATAAGTTGGTAATGGTTTTTTGTGACGCCGCTATTACAGATATTTTTGTCAATTATGACTTTATCAAGAGATATGCTTTCTGTATAATCTGTTGGTGTATTTATTACTTCAAAAAATTTGCCTTACTACCATTAATAATAAACACTCTGTATATGTGATAGCGACGTCATAGAAAAACCAATTAGCTACCTGTATTTGTAATTCCTTTTGTGTTATACATGTATATTAACTCAACAATTTGAAACTTTAAAGTTTTATATCTAATAAACGAATAATGTTATATTAACAATTTAAATACCATTTACTATTAAAATAAAAACTCGAATAAAAATAAAAACTAACACACATGTACAGCACTATAATTTGCGCATTCGCAGTATACATTTGCAGTTCTGTTGTAGTAGCGGCTACCAGTATTAGACCGACAATGGCATATGTTAACGTTTATCATACTGTCAGATCAGGTTTTTTATAACCAGTATTATGTCAGTCTTATGTCAGCAATTGTAGCTAAATACTGATATTCAATACTGGATCAATACTTAAATAATACGCCAGCCAATATTACACAATTACGGGCTAGCTAATGGTCAGTTACCAGTACTGAAGTAATACTTCACTCGTTGTTAATACTGAGTCAAAAATGTCTTCTTGAGTAGCCGAACAAGTTTATTAGTTTTTTCATCAGAAAAAATCAATGATTTAAAATATTGATACTGATTTGTAAAAAAATATTTGTTTGGTTCACTGTTTAGATTTTTTGTTTAAAAATCATTTAATTTTATTTAATAAGCAAAGAAAACTTACGTGTCACCCATTTTCCTTATAATTAAAAAATTATGAAACTCAAATAGTTTTATTATTTGTTTCTATTATTAACTGAGAAGATATTGGTTTTACTATCATATGTTTTTTTTTTGTCTGTTACCACTATTTCTCAGCTCTCACCGAACGGATTTCTTTCAACGATACATCAAAAGATAACAAATCGTATCTAGTCGAAGACATCACCCTCAAAAATTGAAAAAATTTCTCTCGTTCCCCGTAAATAGGGAATTCTCTAAAAAAATTACAAATTTTTTTTTTAATTTTACAAATTGAAAAAAGTGTCAGGCGCTCACTATACAAAAAATATGACATAAAGCACCCATGCTTTTATCACAATAATACTAGTACTTTTCGTTCATTATTGTCTTAAGTTAATTTAAAAAATTATTTTTAACTTTTTAGTTCGATGTACTTTAAAAGCGTGTTTTTTAGTTTTTTTAAACTATATTTATTTTTCACTTTTTAGTTTCATGTTATGATAGTAGTTAATATCAATATCATGGTTGTAACGGGTAACGGAAATACAGGGTTCGATTCCGACTAGGGAGTCAGAGACGGCTACCACATCCAAGGAAAGCAGCAGGCGCGTAAATTACTCACTTCCGGAACGTGGAGGTAGTGACGAAAAATGACGATGCGGAAATTATCCCCCGTAATCGGAATGAATACACTACATATCTCTGAATGAGAATAAAGTGTATTATTATATAAATTTTAATAGTAATTAGAATATATATATATATACATATATAGCGACTTAAGTACGTAAACGTATCATGCACTAGGTATAGCCGTGTTTTGTTGGTGGGCGAGTCGGACTATCGTTATATCTGAGGTATAAACGGCGGTAGGAATATATACATAAGCCGTATGCACGCGGATGATAATGGTCAGTCAAAATAAAAATTTGTTTATATATATATATAATATTGATGACACGCACATGTGTACGGGTACGATAACCAAAAATAAATTTATACAGGAATAGTATTGCCGGCGTGTGATGAGCGAGGCCTGTGGTGGGGTGAATGCGTTATGGCAGTCTAGTCTAGAAGACGGAATATGCCAGAGATGGCGAACCTATGACACGCGTGTCACAGAGTGGCATGCGAATCTATGTAAAAGTTTGTCATCAAAAACCACTGGTCGTAGGACGTAGACTAAAATAAATTGAGATTACAAAAATGAAATATTAAATTTATGGTATTATACCTACACGTATTGAATTGAATATCTACACTGCTCAAACTATTAATTTTATTACTTTTCGATAAGAAAATCTTATTCGATAAGAACATTATTAGGTATATATTTATATAACGGATATAACGTGTAAAACTGATCCACGGCTAGCGTTAGTCATTACTCATTCGTCGAATCGAATGTGTTTCATGTGTTAAATTTTATCGTTGCCTTTGACTTGTCTAAATGAATCGTTTTGGCAGTTTTCATTATTGGTGAGTGTTATTTTTATAATAATTTAAAGGTTATATTTTTTAATAAATGATGTCAAAAAGTAAAAGTGGAAGATCATTTCACGAACAATGGACCGTAGATTATGGGGTAGTTCAAAAAAATAATAAAGTGTTATGTTGTTTATGTAATGAAACAGTAGTTAGTCGCAGTTTTAATGTAAAAAGACATTTTGAAACAATTCATACAGACATATTTTCTTTATCAACTGAAGAAAAGTTGGAATTAATTTCGCAAAAATTGAAACGTTTTAAAAATCAATCAAATAATTTCAAAGCTGCTTTTAAACCAAATAATAATTTAACAGCTGCTAGTTTTTCTGTATCCCACTGTATTGTACAGCATGGTAAACCAGTTTCCGATGGAGAATACATAAAAGAAGTTTTTTTAATGACATCAAATACTTTATTTCATGATTTTGTGAATAAAAATGAAATAATAAAACGTATTCAAGATTTACCTATTAGTAGAAATACTGTTAAAGAACGAATTTTATGTATGAGTGGCGATATATCAAATCAGCTTCAAACTGATTTAGCTTCAGCAGACTTTTTTTCAATTGTCTTGATGAAAGTACTGATGTAACTTCCNTTTTGTGAATAAAAATGAAATAATAAAACGTATTCAAGATTTACCTATTAGTAGAAATACTGTTAAAGAACGAATTTTATGTATGAGTGGCGATATATCAAATAAGCTTCAAACTGATTTAGCTTCAGCAGACTTTTTTTCAATTGTCTTGATGAAAGTACTGATGTAGCTTCCCAAGCTCGTGTAGCAGTTTTTGTTCGATTTATTAATGTTAATATTATGAAAGAAGAATTAATAAAATTAATAACAATTTCTACTAAAACAACTGGTCGTGATATTATGGATGAAGTACATAAAGAGTTTATAAATTTAAAAATCAATATTCAAAATATTGTTTCAATAACTACTGACGGCGCTCCAAATATGGTTGGTAAAAACAATGGATTTATTAAACTTTTTTCCAATGAAATTTTGCATCCTTTAATCAACTTTCACTGTATTATACATCAAGAAGATTTGTGTGCAAAAGATAGTATGAAATCGCTTCAAAAAGTAATGGAAACTGTTACAAAAATTGTCAATTTCATAACATCTCCAGCTTTAAACAATCGACAGTTTGCCAAATTATTAGAAGAGGTGGAATCGCAATACTCTGGCCTTCTTATGTATAATAGTGTTCGATGGTTGAGTCGCGGGCAAGTTCTTCATCGATTTGTTGAATTACTGGCAGAAGTACGTTTATTTTTGTCGGACAAATCTCAAGATTATCCAGAGCTTACTGATTTAAATTGGTTGAATGATTTGATGTTTTTCACAGATTTTACTGCAATTTATAATGATTTAAATAAAAAACTCCAAGGCCGAGGTCAAACAATTTTAACTATGTTTGATAATATTAAAATTTTTGAAAAAAAAATTGAAGTTTTTTGTAAAGATCTACAAAATGAAAACTTGAAATATTTTCCTTATTTGAAAAAGCAATTAATAGATTCAAAACATTTTAAAGATGATCAGTTTGATATGAAATTAATAATAACAAAATATGTAAAAATATTAAAAAATGCATACGAATTATTTTCAAGCAGATTTTCCCAATTTCGTCATCTAGATTCAACATTACAGTTTTTATTAAATCCACATAATATTAAATTTGAAGAACTTGAACTTAGTTTTTTTGAGTGGTTAAATATTGAAAATTTAGAAATGGAGTTAATAGAATTTCAGGGAAGTAATATTTGGAGAAATAAATTTATTAATTTGAATAATGAGCTAGAAAATAATCATCATGAAATTGGTAGGAATTTTAAATCGGAAAATTTGATTCTTAATGAGTGGAAAAGTCTTCCAAATTCATTTGCATCTATGAAAAAACTAGCTCTTTCTTTATTGACAATGTTTGGATCAACTTATGCGTGTGAGCAGCTTTTTTCTTCAATGAATTTTATTAAATCAACTGTAAGGAATCGTCTTGGAAAAGATTTAAGTGAAGCATGTGTTCATTTAAAATCGACCAAGTACAGTCCAAGAATTGATTCATTAGCCAATAAAATGCAGCAAAAAATTTCTCATTAAAAATTCATGTATAAAAATTTTATATTTTAACATTTCAATATTTTTTAATTTTTTTACATACTGACGTGATACATATACTTTTTGTATCTAATATAATTAAACTGTTTGATAATGTAATTGACATGTTTTTTATCATAAAAACCATGGATATAGGAATTTTTAAGTATGAAAAAGGGTTATAAAACTAGTTGACACGCAGGGAAAACAAAATTCAACCAACATTTTTTTTTGACACGCTAGTACAAAAAGGTTCTGTATATGTTTCTGGAATATGCGATAACGCTTGGCGTTTGGAGAGTACAAACATACATACATACAGGTGAAACTAATATAAGCGTGTTAAAAATTCGGACTTTATTTTGTTTTAACGGTGAATATGGCAACTGAATGCTATTTTTGTGTGAAAATTCTCGTTTAATTTTTTGCATTTTTAACTTTATAATGCTATAACTTATTAAAAAGTGTATGGATCAAAACAATTTTTTTTTGAGATTCTAATATTTCTATCCCTGTTTCATTCGACATAATTTATCTTACTCAAGACATTAAAAATAAAATAGCAAATCGTGTAGCTTTTGGAATAATACACAGATTTTATAAAATTAAACACTATCTAAAGATTTGCACAAAACGTTATTTTGATAGTGATTTACTGTCAGATATCATCTATACTGAACCCAACTATGCCATGTGCACCACTGTGCCTCCCTGTGCTGGGTTTTTAAATAATTTTTTTATTTTACTATGTATAAGTTGATTCAATGGTCAAAATATATTATAAATTAAAATATACTACTTTATTTTTAACAAATCAACATAATTATCTTTCATTCTAAAACCTTACATATTTCCCTTTCATTTGATATCATTTTTTTGAATATATAACACTAAACCTGTTCACTGGAGGGGATTCAAAACAGCAACTTTTTTACAAAAACTAACTTCCTCAACTTATTTTTTGAAAATGTTCTAGAAATACTGCGTCCTTTAAACATATATCAAATAAAAGGTTATGTCATATACTATAAAATGAAAAAAAATAACTTGTCCTGACATCTTATCGTCTATGAGTAAATTATTAACAAAAACAAAATAATATTTTTTTATATTGAAATTTTAAGTAATTTCCTTTCATTTGATATCATTTTTTTTTTTTTTTTTGAAAGTAACACTTATTCAGCTCACAGAAGGAAATTTATTATTTTTAACATATTAAAAATCAATAATAATTTGAAAACAATTAATTATAAAAATTATATTATAGTAAAAGAATTACTAACCTGGATATAATTAAGGAAATAGAAGTTAATGTTGCTTTTGTAAGTATCCTCCAATTTCTTAGAATTAAACACTATCTACAAATTTGCATCGAAGCGTTTCTTATGATAGTGATTTTAATCAATGCCAGATATCATTATACTTGATCCAACTATGCTACATTACTACTGTGCCGCGATCCCTCTGTGCTGGGTTTTTCCCAATTGTTGTTTTGATCTGTTTTTTTATATGAGTTCTTTTTTAAACTATAAAAAATGTATGTGCAATCAATTTTATTTATTATTAACAATTTATGAAACTCTTTTTAATAAATTTACTTTTTTATTTACATACATAAAGTTACCTATTTAAGTTACATAATTAAAGACTAAATAATTCTATATTTATTTTAAAAAAATTTTTGAAAATAAATAATTACTTTATACAATTTTTCAAAATTTTATTCATTCTAAATACAAGTTTTTTTTTAATTTTATTTTGTTTAAAAATTTCTCTGGATCACAATAACAAAAATTAATCGAAGTCAATTCACTTTAACTACGCTCCTGTAATACTTGGTGAATACATTTTTTTGGCTTAATTTTTTATTAAATATACTATTTATTATAGCATTAAGCGATTTCGAAAAACAAGAGTTTACAAATTTTCACTTTCTAACTGAATTTTTCTTATATACTGAGATGATACTAATATATTGATACTAATGGTCATTCAAATTAAAAGAGCTCAAAAATAATTTTATAAGGGCATTTTCTTATTGTAATAATTTATAAAAAGAATAACTATAAATTTTACACAAAAAATATTATATGTCATTCCTTTTAATTTTTCAAATATAATCCCTTAAAATTCCCTATAGACATTTTTTTAAATTATGTGTAAAAAAATTTAATGTATGAAGTTATGATATTAAGTTTTTATTTGAGACACTTTTTTTACATTTTTATTAATTTTGGAGAAAATCTATGTAACATAAATTTTTAATCACTATATTTAAAGTGTTCAATATTTTATAGATAATGAACATAAAAGAGTTTACGAGATTCTACATTTTATGTATCAATATGATAAAGCGGGTGATAGTATAAAAAAACCTGATGATGAACAAGAAGTAGAATCATATATTAATTATTTTATTATCTTTTTACCTAAATCAGTAATAAATTATTTTTTATTTTTAGATAATAAAACTGGAGAGAAATGAGTTAAATAAAGTGTTCATTTTTTTTTTTTTTGAAAATGACTTTGACATCAATGGTATTATAGAGTATTGGGAATACCGATCGTTGATTCTTTCGTTTGGCAATAATGATATTTTTAAAGATGTAATTATAAATTTATTTACCTTTTATTTTGTAGATATCTTATTCAAGCTAATACATACGAATTTTACTAAAGTATTTAGAATTTTTTATGTGTAATTTTTCATTGATTCTAAATTATTAACACGATGTATTTAGATAGCAAACAATATTTTCTAATCATTATTTTAAATAAATTTAATGACTCTATATTAATGATATCAAGATTTATAGATAAAAGACAAGTAAGAGTCTATAAGTTTCTGAATTTTTTGGTTAAAATTGATAATACGGTGATGTTGGAAAGTCAATATGACATATTAATTATTTAATTGTATTTTTTACATGAATCATTCGATAATGTGATGCGTATTTTACTAAATAGTATATAATATAGATATAGTGACCTGTGTTGTATTTAAATATGAAACAATCTTTTTGTTCTAACTTTAGTTATAAGAGTTCAATAATAACGCAAATGTAATTAATAAAGATATAATCAAACGAAATAAAACATATAAAGTAATGATACACTTAAAAACAGGATCAATAAATAATACACAAAATGAAAACTTAATGTCATAAACGTAACACGCGGAAAGAGATTACCTTCGGTACTACCGAGGACTTCTCTCTCTTCTCTCAATTCATTCAATTTCGTCTTATATACTAAAATATTTTGTTTTTCTTTTTTATAAAATTCATAATGTAATCATTTTCAAAGATGTTTATAAATATTTACTTCCTGATCTAGTAACAATAATTCGGGGAATTACATTTAATCCAAACATATTATATTTTTGTAATAATAGATCAAGAAATTCATAGTTAAACCAAAGATTACAAAAATGCTTTATTTTCAGTTTTACAAAATAATGACCTATATTACACCTGCTAGGGTCCAAAAATGGTCTTATCTCTTTTGAGTTAAAATAATTTGGATCTTGTCCTTGGTATACAGGGTGATTTTTTATCATAACCCACTCAATTACTTACAGAATAATAATAATTTAAAAATTTTTTTTTATTATTATCTTTAGTTACACATTATTCTTGAGTTATTAACTATGTAATAATTTTTAAGTTCATCCCTTATGCCTGGTAAGGGTGTCAACTTTGTTTTTTTAAATGGTAACACATATTTTTAATTTAATAAAATGTTTGAGTTTTTAATTTAATAGTAAATGGCATTTGAATTTTTAATATAACTTAATTCGTTTATTAGATATAATCATTTAAAGTTTTAAATAACGTTTTTTTCCTTGTTTTATTATATAATAAGATACTAGCATTTTCAAAAAAAAGTTTTATAAATTCTAATAAATGTTAAAGCAGTATTATCTATACAACGAGTGATAAAAAATCTTTAAACAAATATTTTTTTAAATTTGGTTTGATTTACCAGAAACCCGGTAGGTTAAAAGTTAATGGTATTGAAATATAAAACAAAAAAAATTATTTAGAATACATACTTAGTCAAGAATTCAGAATATCGTAAAACTACAAAAAAGTATTAAAATACTATCATTGGAAATTTTACGAGACTGGAAAATTCCAGCAAGACTCAGTCGGCTATCGACTATCGGTCGCGATTCTATTTTTCTGTTGAGTTTCGATTTATTGATAAATTGTTCGTTCTACCTACTTCATTGAAAAGGTTTTTTCACGATGCTTTAATTAAAGTCTGTGATCTTGGCTCAAGTTTCTTTAGTTAAAAGAATTGTATAATTTGTTTACCATACCACACTCTTGTAGTGATAATTTTTTTTTTTTTGATTAACGAGTGTAATAAATGGTCACGACTCTTTACAACCTTAACATCCGTTTCGGTTATCATCTTTAACTGGGTCATACAGACACCTCACTATCTACTGGTACATATTACTCATTATTTCTAAAGTTGCATTTTTAGCTTATTTACGACTATAATATTGTATAGTCTATAGTGAAAAACAAATTTTATTCAAATAATATACAATTATTTATTACCTACTGTTTACTTAATTATAATAATTTTTGTGCTCATTTTTAGCAAAAATGGAGTTTGAGAATCGTCCGTAATAACACATGATCTCCTATTTTTATCTATCACTACACAGTAATATCACATACAAATGCTCGTACATAATTTAACAAAGAACATTATTTCAATACCAGTACCTGAACACATTTCTGGAACAACTAATAATTACTCCACATTTAGACCCTTACCTGTTATAGCTTAAAATCACTATCATAAAAAAGCTTCCATGCCAATCTGTAGATAACGTTTAATTTAAAAAAAATAATGGATTATTCCAAAAGCAACATGATTTCCTATTTCCTAATTTTTTTTCTGAAGTGTAATATATGAATATATATATATATAAAGGAAAATGATCCGATTTAAATAAAAAGTATGTCGAATGAAAGAGGTATATAAATATTATTTCTCTTGAAAAAATTATAATAATCCATACATTTTTCAAAAAGTGATAGCATAATTAAGTTAAAAATATGAAAAAGAATTTTTTTTATTAACTTATAGGACACTTTTCACCATGAAAACGAAATAAAAACCGAAATTTTTTATTTCCTTATAAAATAAGGTATACAATTTTTTTATGAGAAACAATTTTTACATATCTCTTTTATTCGACATACTTTTTTTTTAAATCAGACCATTTCCCTTAATACAAGGGGGTTCAAAATTTAAAAATGTATATTGAAAGTAAAACTTTTTCAACTTAATTTTTGAAAGTGTTACGGAAATCTGACACTTAAATGTATATCTTAAATTAAAGCTTATGTAATATACTTTATAAGGGGGAAAAAAAATTTTATCTTCGTATAATATATTATAAATTTATCAATAGGCAAAATGTTCCAAGTATGTTATATAATATTTTTTTAGAAAAATAATTACAGTAACAATAATTGCTAAAATACCTATTTGTGTAATCGAGGATGAAATTATATAACTTTCAAAAATATTTTTAGTGCGAAATCATCTTTTTAAAGTTTAGTTGTATACAAATGCAGGTATATACTAACAAACATATACAGCGCTATAATTTGCGCATTCGCAGTACTTCTACGGCTGCGTTGGATTTAATGGTTTACAAATGATGAATGCAAAAACCCAACTAGAAATTAACTACAGGTACAATACTGCATTAATACTGGCAGTTCTGGTGTAGTAGCGGCTATCAGTCTAAGACCGATACTGACATATATTTTGCATGATAAAGTTTATCGTACTAAGAGATCAGCACGAGAGGTTTTGTATAATCAGTGTTATGCCAGTACTATGGTAGAAATAGTGGCTAAGTACAGATCTCCAATACTGAATTAGTACTTAGATAAAGGTGACTGGTCAGTTACCAGTACTGAAGCAGCACTTCGCTTGTTGTCTATATTGGTACTTAAAAAAAATGTCTATTTGGGTAGCTGAACAAGTTTATCCTTCTTAGTACCAAAAAAAACATCATAAGTGATATAAAAGATTTACAAACTTAACCCTTTAAAACCCCCTCATAGATATTTTTAAAATAAAATGTAAAAAAATTTTTTATAATAACATTATATTTGGAAAACTTTTATATTTTCATTAACTTTTGAGCAAAACTATTTAACATGAAATATTAATCACCATGCATTTAAGAAATCATTAATTTATAGATAGTAGATTTGTCAGAGCTTTCATGATTCTAAATTTTGTGGTTCAAGTTAACAAGAAGGTCGATAAAATTGAAGTAAAATCACATATTAATTAGTTTATTATCTGAATTATTAATAACTTAATTTGCATTTTTTAGTTTGAAAATATGGATAAAAATATGGTTAATAAAATCTCAAATGAGTTCTATAAATTTGATACAGACAACGATGGCATTCAATATGAACCTATGATTAATTGAATTGACAACTATATTGAAAGCATAATTATAAATTTATTTTAAAATATTCATAATTTTTTACATATGAGATACATTGCCTAAGATTTTTTTCTCTCTTACGTAAAAATAATAGACAGAAACTTAATGATAGAAAGTTAGATCAACTATTCTGGTCTACCAATTTATTCCACTTTTCTCTAATTATGACAATAAAAAATTTAAGAGATCATTAAATTAATTTTTTTATTACATTTATATTCGTATTTCAGCTATTACATATGAATTCTTACAAAAAAATGTAGAATATTTTTATGTATAATTTTTAAGAAATTCTAAATTATACACATGATGCAATAGAATGCATACGTCATTTTTTAAAAATATTTTAAAATAAATTCAATGATTTTATATATTTTTAAAATATTATGTTGAAAAGTTACAAATATACAAAAAATCAAACTAATTGACCGCAACGAAAATTTGTAACTTTCATGGCGCATTGAACAGAAAGGGTCGCCAACCCACTGGGCGAGACACTGTATTGTCAGACTACAGTAGGATTTAAAAAAAATTAACTATTGTAAATTAAAAGTAATTTAAGATAAAAAAATATAAAAGTAATAAAGATTTAAGTTGATTTCCGTTGAGTCGTTGATAGTTGATGTACACCAAAACCTCGTGACAGTTATCACATAACCATATAGATCAGGTATGACCTTATACAAGGCCGTTGCTCGTACCTTATAAACTAGGGGAGTTGATTTTTGAAAGGAAAAAAAAAATACACGAGTCCATTGAAAATGGAACACTCAAAAAAAAAGAAAATATGATAGTTAAGTTAAATTAAAGGTAATTTATTAAGTAAAACAAAAAACAAAAAAAAATTAAGTTACTACGAGGCAAAAAACCGAACGGTCAATAAACCTCGTCTACAAATTAAAGGGGAACATTGAGAAAAAAAACAGATATTGATAAAAAAAATAGTTACACCTACAATTTTAATATTAGAGAATGCGATGAACGTCTTTGGGTACCCGCCGGCTATTAATCGCAGCATTGCCGCTAAGCACGGCGGGTATACGTCCCAAGTAAGAAACTAGTTTTAGGCAGTTAGACTTAGCTTGCAAGACGTTGGGACTCCCCGGAATAAAATGCACTACGTCACCACATTGTACCAATAATATATACATATATCTATGCACCACCCAATATCATGTCATCTAAAACCTATACAAAAAAAATCTAGATATAACATGACAGGTGGTCTTGTAACACGCCTGCCATGTTGCGGGACCTAAAAAAAAAAAATAAGGGCACACGTGCTTATGGCACGGCGCACTAATTATAAAAAAACAAATTCTGGCTCAAAAAATTAAAAACAAAAATATACATTACCAGCCCCGAAGGGCTACAGAAAATGGAGGCAGGATTAGCCGACGCCATAAATAAAAAATTACATACTAAAAAAAATAGCGGACACTTACGAAAAAATATATCTATAAAATTAAAATGTTGCAGCGCACACAACAACAAAAAACTCACGCTACAGACGAAAATTAGCGACAACCAGTTCCGACGATGGCTAATTTCCGGCAACCCGTCCGGCGTTTGATCCGGCGGTCCGTTGGCGACAACACGGCTAGCCTTTAGAGTACGGGTCAAAAAAAACTAAATACCCAGTGCCGGAAATTACCAAGAACAATTTAAATCATAAGGCGACAATGTATGCGGTGAGCAGTGCAAATGACGTTCAAGATGGGAAAGGTGCGGGGTGAATGTACACACAAATGCCGTGCATGAACCGGTCCGAAGTAGTACACAGCTGACTATCTCGCACGCGCACAAACAAATCACAACACCTTATCATGATTATTTAACTGATAAACGCCGTCGCAGTACGCATTCGGCTCAACACAAATATAAATTTATACAAATAGACAAAAAAAAATAATTAGATACTTTTCGTCACGTTACAATGTATATAGATAAAAGGTAGTAAGAGTCTTTCTTCTAGAGTTTTGAGCGTTTAATCAACTACTATCATGAAGCCTACACGCCCTTTTATATTCCTTTATTAAAAATAGATTGGCTTCTTCAATTTTTATGATACTAAAGTATTTTAATATGCAATGACGAAAATATTAGGAGTTTCGTAATACATTTAAATTAATTTTGTCTATCATTTTTATTTTTTATTTTTGTTTTTCAACTTCACTTACTTCCATAAATTCTTTTTAACTTTTCTTTACATGTATACATTTCCTTTGTAAGGATGTTTGCTTTATTCCAAAAAATTATACACTTTCAACTTAAACTGTAAAATTTATTTTTTCAAACAGCAACATGCATTATTAATAGAAAACAGTAAAAATTAATGATTTTAATTGTTTATTTGGTGTAATAAACAAAAATTAAATTAAAGAAATAGGGATAGGTTTAAATAGGGGAGTAGTAAGTAAGGGGTGTGTTAGATTTGGGATAATAAATGGTGGTTTGGGGTGTAATGTGTATCGTCAAGTTAATAATTTAAACGACTCGACAAAATTGTTCCTATCTTACTTTTTTCTACTCTTGTTTATTACGTGAAGTTTTTAGGAGAAAACATGCAAATAAATTAGAATAAAGCTGTAGTGAGTAATTTTTGCACATTCTGGCAAAAAATTTTATGGATGTCCCTACTCTAAACTAAAGTAATTTTTGAAAATGTCTTACAATTGACAAAATTATATAAGTAACTATGTAAACACGGAGTCTAGGATAGGCAATAGAGCAGCATTCGTGTTAACTCAACCTTATATCAACTTTTCTAACCGATATATCGGTTGAGTTGGAGATAATAAAGATAATAAAAATATTTTATTTTATTTTTGTTTTGTTAGTGGTAAATAATACAAAATTTGCACGAAACGTAATATAAGAAAGCAATAATTATTAAAAAAAAATGTTTAACAACATGTTATTTTTATCAAAAATTATAAGCGTATCAGTTAGATATGAGACATTCTATATAAACTATATATATATAATTATCATCTCCTTAGCTGACCCTAACTATTTGAGTTCAGTTCTACTTTACGATTTGACAGGATTTGACACGGTGCCACGTCCTGATCTAGACGGCCGCTCAGACTTGTCTATCTTTAACTCCAGCCGTCTATCTAATAATATAACAATCAATGGTCACAGCGTATCTCCACTTATAAAACAGAACAGTGAAACGCAAAACACATCGTGAGCCATTAACAGTCGATGGCCGCCCACAACACAGTGTAGTAATACATAGACAGCTGGAGTTAAAGAGAGACATGTGTAAGCGGCCGCCTAGAATAGTAAGTGGACTGTGTCCTTTTTATTATTTGAAATTAAAATTGCATTTAAAATATTTATATATAACTCAAATATATTAAAATTATTTTAATATTTGATTAAAAATAATATTAACTACAAGTCATAAGTTCATATTATAAATTCTCAATAATTTATCTGAAAATGATTGCATAAAATCATTAATAATAAAAATCTGAACTTTTCACACGCCTCTATATAATCAAACATTTTCTACGCTGTAAATCAAAATATTTACTTCATACAAAGTTACTGATTCAAAAGTTGTTATCAAATCGTTTTCTGCTTAATTAGAAAATGTTCTATTTTATAAGCTAATTGTCTGTAGCCATTAAAAAAAACAGTTTGCACCCTTGAAAGTTACAAGGGATGATGCTAAAAAGTAAATAATAACAGACAAATCAAAATATATTTTTAATTATAAAAGAGAAGAAAAAGATATTTGTCATTTAAAAATAAAATTATTCGGATAATCAATAAAAATGCTTACGATAAACCATTTGTGAAAATAAATGAGACATACTTTTGAATAACGGCAAAAAGTGATAAAATATTTTTTTCCAAAATATATTATTAAACATCAAAAATATTATTCATAATTTATTTAAACAGTACCATTAGTGTAAAATGCAGAATTATCATCAACAACATGTTTATTAATCATTATTTAATTTAGATTCTGACAGAAAATAATGACGAATGTACAAAAATAATAATTTTAATAAAGAAATATTGAAAAGGAATACTGGTAGACAAACAGTGACGGAATATCTTTGAATAAAATATTAGTTTTCTCAAGAATAAACATAAAATAAATATGCTTATGCAATGATCCATTTTTAATACTCACATATGTAATTGACAATACTTTAAAAATACATTTATTAACATATACATATATTTACAGGTGATTAATTCATCATAAACTAATTAATTAATAAAAATAAGAAAATTTTAATTGTTTTTTTTGGTAAATTTGAAAGGTTACAAATATCATATAGAAAAAAATTAATTAATTAAAAAAATAAATAAAAAAAAACATAAACGGCTGTTCGGATAAAAATAATTATAAAAACAAAATTGTTTGTAATTTTTTTTTTCTATCATATATATTATCAAATCAAAAGTAGTCGTTCCCATTTAAAAAAATTACAAATTTACATTTTTATCCTTGAAGGAATAAAAAAAATTTATTTAACTTCATATTATTATAGAGTTTTATAAACTTAATAATTATTATATTTACAAAAATTTTAAATTGTCAATAGTTTCTGAGAAAATAAGTGTCTTTCCAGATTTTGATCACCTATGGATATTACAACAATAAATGAGTTGTAATTTTTAATTATGACAAAAAGTGATTTAATATTTCTTCTGGAATATATTATTATATATAAAAGAATATTATTCACGTATTATTTAAACAGTACTTTTAATTTAAAATGCAGAATAATCATAAATAACATGTCGATTACTCAAAACAAATTTAATTACAAAAAAGCCTCATCAATTAGCTATGTATCACTTTAATACTATGAGTAGTTAAGAATATAAAAGTGATTTAATTATCCTATAGTTTATTAACTATTTAAAAATCATAAAAAATAAGTTTTTTTTAATTTTTACATATAAAGGCATTTAACATATCATAATTATTAATTTACAAAATTATGTCTACTTATTAAATCGACTATGTAGAATTTACACTTTCTGTTTTATAAGTCCAATCCATAAATTAATCATCTATAGCATTCGATTATTTAGTAAACTCGAGTACTAAGTAATCAAGGGCAAACTGAGAAGTATTCAGCCTACTGCGATAAAAAAAAATTCATCCTGCATCGCTATGTTTAAT